ACAATAATAATTATGTGCGCGCGGCCTTATCGCGTACAGCGCAAACATCACCGCCCACTTTGAAGGACTCTTCAACAGAATGGAACCGGGCACAGTTTCACAGCTGGGCGAACAAAAGATCCGGTGGCAGTATCCACTGTTGCAACCCGTGTTATTCCGTCTGAACCTGGATGAAGTTGACGAATTCGTCCTACTGACCATTGTAGTGGAGACGTAACTTCTCGAATAAGAACGAGATCACCAACATTTAACTGTTTCCCGTCAGAGCACCATTTTGATCGAACCTGAAGTGTGGTGAGATATTCATTCTTCCATCGAGACCAGAAGTGACGATGAATGTCTGATATAAGTCGCCAACGAGTCAGTTTTGACAGCGGTACGTTGTCTAAGTTGGGATCTGGAAGAGACGTAGATGGTTCCAGTGTTAAGAAATGGCTTGGTGTGAGGGCGTCAAAATTTGATACGTCATTGCTTAAGGCACATAGTGGCCGCGAGTTTAGCGTAGCTTCAACTTGGGTTAAGAGTGTCATAAACTCTTCAGCCGTCAATTTATGGAGTCCAATAGAGCGAAGAATAAGTGACTTTGTGGATTTCACCCCGGCTTCCCATAATCCTCCAAAATGAGGAGCCGAAGGAGGGTTGAAATGCCATTTTATGTTGGATGTGGCCAGATGGGCACGTACACGAGCTTGAAATGATTGTGAGTGAGTCAACGTTTGTATTGGGTTCAACAGGCGTGATGCTCCAACAAAGTTAGTACCGTTGTCACTGTGGATTTCATTCACCGGACCGCGACGAGATGTGAACCGTGTTAAAGCCAATAGGAATGTTTCTGTTGATAGATCAGAACTCAGTTCTAAGTGAATCGCTTTCGTATTTGTGCAAACAAACAGACATATATAGGCCAACTGAGTACGTGGCTTTCGTCCTACATGACTTTTTAAAGTGATTGGTCCAGCATAATCTACACCGGTGATGGCGAAGGGTTTAATTAGTTGGACGCGGTACTTGGGAAGCGCAGCCATTTTTGGTTGAATGGATTGTGGCCTCGTACGGAAACATGCAACACAACGACGCAAACGTGAACGAATTACTTGCCGGGATGACTGAATCCAATATGTTCGTTGTAAGTGAGTTTGGAGCGCAGACGGACCGGGGTGTTTCAACTTGCAATGGTGGTGGTCAATGATCAGATTTGTCAATCGATGATGTGACGGTAAGAGGAGCGGATGTTTTTGCTCATATGGAAGATCGGCATTCTGAAGGCGACCGCCCACTCTGAGAAATCCAGCATGATCAATAAATGGGTCCAATTTACGAAGTGGTTTGGAGCAGGGCAAGTGTTTTGTAAGCAGTACAATTTCGTCTTGGTACACGGATTGTTGTACAGAAAAGATAAGAGCAGACAATGCGTGATGTGTCTCTTCCGCGTTCAGAGCTGTTGTGGCATGTGGTACCTGCTTTTTAACAGTTTTGACGCGTAAACAGTATGCAACAATTCGAACAATTTTGTCTAGAGATGAAAAACGATCTAGAAGTTTCGTAGCGGAAGAACTTACAGCCATGAATACACCAACAGATTTTCTAACCTCAATATCAGGAACTGTATCGCTGGCATCTTGAGTAACATCTAGAAAATCTGGCCATTGATCTGGAGATTTTAATAAGAATGTTGGGCCAGTCCACCATAGTGCATTGTTTATGAGATCTGACGGATATAATCCACGAGATGCACAGTCAGCGGGATTGCTGAGAGTTGGAACATGTCTCCAAATAGATGGAGATGTCAACTCTTGGATTTGACTTGTACGATTTGCAATAAAAGTCGTCCAACGATGCGGGGACGATCGAATCCAAGCAAGGGCTGTGGTAGAGTCAGTCCATGCAGTTAGGTTATCGATATGTAGACGATCTTCAAACGTCGAGACTGTGTAACGAAGAAGTTGGGCTGCAAGAACAGCTCCACATAATTCCAAACGGGGAATGGTAACATGTTTCAGAGGGGCGACTCTGGTTTTGCCTGTAACAAGATGACAACGTACTGAAGTTGCAGTTTCAACACGGAGATATACGGAGGCAGCGTATCCCTTTTGAGAACTGTCTGAAAAGGCATGTAACTGGACTGAGATAGCACAATCTTCAGTTATGCGACGAGGTATAACAAGCGTGTTGATTAAATGAAGTTCCGACTGATACCTTTTCCATAGAGTGGAAAGATCGGATGGTAAGGGATCGTCCCAGTTTATTCCAGAAATCCACAAACATTGCATAAAGTGCTTGATCCAGAATGTGGTTGGCGAGAGTAACCCTAATGGGTCAAACGTTCGTGCAAGATCCGACAACACTGATCTTTTGGTAGGATTTTTTGACGAGGGTTGTGTGTGAAATGAAAAAAATGTCTGCTGATGGATCCCATTTCAATCCTAAACAATTTAACTCAGCATGATCAGCTGAATTGAACAACAACGATGGAGACATGGCGCGCGCTTCACATGGAACTGCTTGAATGATGTTTGTGTTGTTACTAGCCCACTTTCGTAATTCAAACTTAGCAAGTCCACATAAGTTGATTAATTGGCTTTGGCATTCAACAGCAGTTTCTTCCGTATTTGCACCAGTAATGATATCATCAATAAAGGTGTCGTTTAATAGGACTTTAGTAGCTAATGGAAATTTCGGACCATCCACCATGGCTAACTCTCGAACAGTCCGAAGAGCTTTGTATGGAGCTGCAGATGTACCATAAGTGACTGTACATAATCTGTATTCCTCAATAGGTGAATCTACGGTGAATCGCCAAAGAATCCTGAGATAATTTCGATCAAGAGGATTCATTATAATTTGACGGTACATCTGTTTTACGTCGGCCATAAACAAATATTTCTATAATCGAGCGCGTAATAGAACGACTTGGATGTCAGGTTGTAATTTGGGACCTGTATACAAAAGATCATTGAGAGATGATCCCGTAGTTGTTCGTGCAGAAGCGTTAAAAACAACACGCAATTTTGTAGTTAGGCTATCTGGCCGAAGCACACAATGATGAGGAATATAATAATTATATGGAAGATCTTTTTCTTCGGCAGGAATGAGTTCCATGTGGTTATTTGATACATAATCGTGCATAAACTCAACATATTGTTGGCGTAGATTTTGATCTCGACTAAGCCTGATCTCCAAAGATCTGTATCTGTGAAGAGCCATGGTTCTTGAATCGCCTAATAAGGGGCGTGATGACTTGAAGGGAAGTTTAACCATGAACCGTCCTGATGCAAGGCGAGTTGTCGTCTGTTGATAAAATTTCTCTGCAATAGAATCCTCTTCACTGAGGTGATGAATGGCTTGCAATTCGTCAAGTTCCCAAAATTTCTTTATAGTGTTGTCGAGGTTTTCGAATACAGATATGCAGAATGAATTAAGTGAACCAGAGGAAGAGGATTGAATTGGTCCGACTAATACCCAGCCAAAGATTGTTTCCATTGCCATAGGTTCACCATTTTTCCCTTTGAGTTGACCAGTTAGAACGAGAGATGGGAACATATCAGCACCTAATAGCAAGTCAATGTCTCCAGGAAGATGGTATGACGGATCTGCCAATGGAAGATTCTCAACATGAGTCCATGTTCCGTGAGTGATTGGAACTTGGGGCGTAAGACCAGTAATTTTTGGAACAATTAATGTGTCTACAGACACAGACGGTGATAATTTATTACAGGGGAGTATACTTATAGTGGCTTTCCCTTTGACTAGCGTAGTGGTTGTACTGGCAAAGGTTGTAACGTTAACGGTTGAATGAAATCGACGTAGCATTAACAAGGAGGCAGCCTTTTCAGTTATAAAGCTCGCTTGGGAGCCACTATCCAACAGCGCTCGTAAAGAATGCCGATGACCATCAGCGGCGATCACATCAAGTATTGCAGTTGATAATAATATAGCGCGTTTGGGTACTCCTTTTACTATCATGGATATGGCATTCGAAGCGTCAGCAGGAAGTACATTAGACGGCATTTGTTGCTGTGAGTTTGATCCAGAATTTGAATTAAAATGTAATAACGAGTGATGGGATCGGTTACAAACTTGACATTTGTACTTAGATGGACATGCTGCTGATGTATGCCCGGCTCCTAGACAATTAATACAAAGTTTGTGCGATTTCGCGAGCTGGAACCGTTCATTAGGTGTTTGTTCATTGAATCGTGAACATTTCCGAATTGAATGTGCCTGGTTGCATATTGGACAGTTCACATTTGGTGATTGACTGGTGGTAGCTGTAAGTATTTTTTGAATTGAGCCAGTACGAGGTTTTTCTTGACTTCGAGGCAATTTTGCTATATGTGTAGTCGGAATCGAGGGTATAAATACTTCTGCAGAACGCATGTGCTGACGTAAGAAATCGATAAATTCTGGTAGACTCGGAGAGTGTTTGTCTCCCACTAATAACTCCCATCGAGATCGTAACTCATAATCCAGATGTTGTTCGAAGATGTATAACAACAGTGGACTCCATGATCTAGTTACGAAATCTAAATTGTCTAATGCTGCAGTATGTTCCGTAATGGAATTAAGCAGGGTTTTGATAGATTGTGAGTCTGTGGATTTTACGACATGCTTCTTTAGAAGAGATTGAAAATGAATGCGAGCCAGATCACGTTTGTTTCCATAGCGAGACTTTAGAATGTCCCAGGCACTCAAGTAGTTCGCTGCTGTCAATGGTAAATGAGCAACCAGTGATAAGGCTTCACCTTGAAGAGAAGTTTTCAGATATTCAAATTTCTCAACATTAGGTAGATCTGGAGCATGTGATAATATTGAGTGGAATAAATCCTCAAAGCCTTGCCACTCTGTAATTACTCCAGAAAATGTGGGAAATTTGCGTTTTGGTAACTGGAAACAGGACAAATTTCCCAACGTACCAGATTGTTGAGCCGTGCTGGAAGCAAAGGATTGAGACATCTCTGTGACTGGTGACAATGGAAATTGATGAATGTCAGCAAACGCAGCTAGTTCATAAAATAGATCTTCAAATGAACTAATTAATGAACTACTACACTTATTATCGGTAACATCAATAGGTGCAGTCGATTGTCCGACGGCAGTTTCCATTATTTGAATGTCCTCATTAACGCAACGACGAATCTCCTTTAGTTCAGAGAGCATCTGCTTGATTTTTGCCTGTTTTCCGATGTTTGTCCGGTCATTGTTGTAATCACCGGAAGCTTTCACAAATGAAGTGACTCGGTTAATCGCACGAATCACACGCCCTTTTGCATCTATGTAATGGATTGATTGTGGCATAGCCATATTGAAGTTTGAGATGAATTGATGTACTGAAAGTTGATGAAAGAGACCAGTGAGTACCCGGGGACTGAGTAAGAGCGACGGTTACTGGTCGTAGAGTATGAAGTTAACGAGAGTTTTGAAACACAGTAAGTTTAATACAAGACTTG